AAAAACAATTCAGAATGTCAATTATGCACCAGGTCTTGCTCACAATCTGTTAAGTGTGGGTCAACTTCTTCAATCTGGTCTCTTGGTACTGTTTGATAACGATTCTTGTGTTATTAAAAACAAAACAGGAGATGTTTTGTTTAAATCTCTAATGACAGAAAACAGGATGTTTCCGGTCGACTTCTCTAACAACAGGGAGTATGGAATGATGATGAGCGGCAAAGATGATGTTACAACGTTGTGGCATCAACGTTATGGTCACTTATATATCAATGGATTACAGCTGCTTGCGGCTAAAGAGATGGTGAAAGGCTTACCCGCAGTCAAAGATGTGAACAGCCCTTGCGAAGGATGTGCGTTGGGGAAGCAAACAAGGACTTCGTTTCCTATTGGGCAAGCAAAAAGAGCCGAGAATAAGTTACAGCTGGTCCATGCCGACATATGTGGACCCATGAAAACCGCTTCACTTGGAGGTCGGAAATACTTTCTACTCTTTATCGATGATTTTTCAAGACTGAGTTGGGTTTATTTTCTCACACATAAATCAGAAGCATTTGATTTCTTTAAGAAATTCAAAGCTTTAACAGAAAATCAAAGTGGTGAAAGTATTAAARTACTCAGAACCGATWGAGGGGGAGAGTTCATTTCTAARGAGTTCACCAATTATTGTGACGAACATGGAATCAAGAGAGAGCTTACGGCTCCCTATACCCCTCAACAAAATGGTATAGCGGAGCGAAAAAACAGAACCATACAAGAAATGGCTCGTTCAATGATCAAAGCCAAAGGACTAGGTGATGAATTATGGGCTGAATCGGTCGCTACTGCCGTCTACCTGCTGAATCTGTCACCTACAAAAGCAGTATGGAATATGACTCCATTCGAGGCCTGGTACGAGTTCAAACCATCGGTTAGTCATCTTCGCATTTTTGGCTGTGTATGCTATGCTTTGATTCCATCAGGAAGACATAAGCTTGATCAAAAGGCAAAGAAGTACATTTTTGTGGGGTATTCCACGAAATCCAAAGCATATAAACTATTTGATCCAAATGAAAAATCTATGGTGATCAGTAGAGATGTGCAATTTAGTGAGCAGRAAGCATGGAGTACAAGCATCACCAAGCCTAATTCAGATTTAATTCTGGATAACGAGGAGGAAGGCACACACRAAGAGCCGCTGGTCAATCCTCAACYTCAAGGTACTCCTTCAAGCTGCAACAACACAGRTTCCTCTTCGAGCAACGAAAMTGTAGARTCATCTCAAAGTAGTGATTCTGAAGCCTCTCTAGATGACAGAAACAGTGAAGAAGTACCGGTAAGACGAAGTGAGCGTGGCTTGATTCCTAAGCGTCATTTCCCAGTTGAAGGAAAAGGAGATGATTTTGTCATGCTTGCTAGTGATCCAACAACTGTAGAAGATGCCATAAAAGAAGATGTTTGGAAACAAGCTATGCAAGAAGAAATTAATGCTATTGAGAAGAATAAGACTTGGAAGCTAGTTGAATTACCAAAGGAGAAGAAAGCAATCAGTCTAAAATGGATTTTCAAGACAAAAGTGCATTCAGATGGAACAATACAGAAGTACAAGGCGAGATTGGTGGCACGCGGATATGCACAAAAACAAGGTGTAGATTTTGAAGAAACATTTTCACCGGTGGCAAGGTTTGAAACGGTAAGAGTTATCCTCTCACTCGCAGCACAAATGCAATGGCAGGTTTTACAATTTGACGTAAAATCTGCATTCTTAAACGGGGAACTAAAGGAGGAGGTTTATGTACAACAACCTGAATGTTTTGAAGTATGTGGAGAGGAACATAAAGTATATAAGCTTGAAAARGCTCTTTATGGCTTGAAGCAAGCTCCTCGRGCTTGGTACAKCAAGATAAATGAATTCTTTCTTACAAATGGATTTGAGAGAAGTCCAAATGAGCCGACGCTATTTGTAAAGAAGCAAGGCTTAAAAGATATTGTGGTAGTAANAAATGAATTCTTTCTTACAAATGGATTTGAGAGAAGTCCAAATGAGCCGACGCTATTTGTAAAGAAGCAAGGCTTAAAAGATATTGTGGTAGTAAGTCTTTACGTCGATGACATGATATACACAGGTTCCTCCTTCAATCTCATTTCAGAATTTAGAAAAGCCATGACAAGCAAATTCGACATGACTGATTTAGGGGAGTTGAGATACTTCCTTGGATTGGAGGTCAAGCAAACCAAGAGAGGCATATTTATATCCCAACGTAAATATGCCTCAGACATCTTGAAGAGTTTTGGCATGGTGGGCTGCAAAATGGTTGGGACTCCGATGAATGTGGGTGAGAAACTCATGATTGATGATGGCACAGGATTAACAGATGCGGGAAAATTCAGAAGCCTAGTAGGGCGGTTGATCTATCTCACTCACACCAGACCAGACTTAGCATATTCAGTCGGATTGGTTTCCAGATTCATGCATTGTCCTAGCAAGCAACACTTAGGTGCAGCCAAAAGAATACTAAGATATGTAGCAGCTACATTAAATTTGGGGATCTGGTACAAAACTCAAGCAGAATTTCAGCTCAAGGGATACTCGGACAGTGACTGGGCAGGCTCAGAAGATGATGGAAGAAGCACAACAGGAAATTGCATCCTTCTTGGATCAGGGCCTGTTGTTTGGATCTCCAAGAAACAACCAACCGTAGCTTTGTCGTCTACAGAAGCTGAGTATGTGGCAGCTACTGCAGCAGCATGTCAGGTAGTTTGGATAAGAAGATTACTTGAAGACTTGAATCAAAAGCAAAAGTATCCAACACAACTGCTATGTGACAACAAATCAGCAGTAGCACTTACGAAGAATCCAATTTTGCATGGAAGAACGAAGCACATAAAGATTAAACATCACTTTATCCGGGAATTGGTAGCTGAAGAACAGATTAAAGTTGAGCTTTGCAGATCAGAACAACAA